AAAAAATTTGGCCGCAGCTTTCTTTATTACGGATATCTAAACTTTGAACGAAGATAACTCGGCCATTACATAATCAAATTCGATCAAAATTTTTTTATTTTAATTCTATAATCTCACCGAAGTAAAATAAAAAAATTTTGATCGAATTCGATTATGTAACGGCCGAGGTATCTTCGTTCAAAGTTTAGATATCCGTAATAAAGAAAGCTGTGGCCAAATTTTTTTTCAGCTCTTAATCGATACTTCTCAACATCTATCTATTCAAATTCGGTAAAAAATTTTTATTTTAATCCTAGATACTTGTATAATCAAAATAAAAAAAATTTCATTGAATTTGGATACCTGGGTATTGAGAAATCATCGTTTAAAATTTCAGAGAAAAAATTTGCCGATTTGATTTTTTTTCTGATATTTCAAGCTTTTTCAAAACTTCTAGCGAATGTTTCTCGACAACTACTTGACCAAATTTAATGAACTTTTTATTGTTTTAGTTTTACAAATATATGGAATCAAAATAAAAAATTTTACCAAATTTGATCAAGTGGTTACTGGGAAATCGTCGCTCGAAGTTTAAAGAAATTAAATGGTTTTGGCTTCGGAATTAGATCGGAAAGGATCTACAGTGATCTTCAGCCCGGGATTTTCTTGACATAAGGAAATCCCATAAGGAAACCCGAAATTTATAGTGCATACCGGACTCTAATTGTGATTGGCTAATTTTATTGCAGGTCACATTATTTGTAGATCCGTTGACAATATAAATCGTTTCTTGTTGGCAAAACTAAAAATCTTCAAAATCCCACCCAAACCCAAATCCCAATTGGATAAACCCAAATCCCAAACTGGAAAAATCTCATTTAAGTTGTCATAATCCAGTAATCCCAAACCTTGGTTAAATCCCAAACCTTGGCAAAATTCCAAGTTCCAAATCCCAAACCCAAATCCCAAATTCTGTCTTTGGAATTTGGAGTTTTCCAAAGAATTTTTTTTTTTACTAAACAAACCTCCTTTTAACTTCTAAGTAAAGTTTGTAATGGAGTGTTTTGCAATCAGAATGGTAGTTAAAACATTAAAATTGGTCTGGTAGATCACAAGATATAAGCATTTTAGTCTTCACAACTATATGTTTTCTTCTTTATTTATATAAAGAAAACATATAGTTGCAAAGCCTAAAATGCTTATATCTCATGATTCACCAGGCCAATTTTAATATTTTAGCTACCATTTTGATTGCAAGACACTTCTCTACAACTTTACCTAAAAGTTGAAAGAAGGTTTGTTTAGTAAAGAAAAAACTTTTTCTTTAGAAACACCAGATTCCAAAGATGAATTTGGGATAGGTTTGGGATAGGTTCGGGATTTGGGATAGATTTGGGATTTGGGATAGATTTGGGATTTGGGATGGGTTTGGGATTTGGGATTTGGGTTTGGGATTTGTCCAGTTTTGCCATATGAGATTTTTAAATATAGGTGGACAAACCTATTTGTCCAGGTTTGTCCATAGCCCAATCCCAAATCCCATAGGTTTTGCCAACAAGTATATTTAGGTTACCTTTGTCACGAGAAATTTTGTCACCCGACAAAATTGGCCGATCAGAATGCGATTTCCGATTACTACATTTTCCATGTCAGAGTAATTAATAAGCCCTATTATTACTATATTTTCCCCCGCTATTACTTCATTTCTCTTAACATTACCAATCCTTACGCAATACCGTAAAAGTTCATATACAAGACCCGGGTCTGTTTCATTCCACCAATTTTAAACCATTTAGTAGTAGCAGAGGTTACATCATTAAAAGAAAAAATTTAAAGTGCATACACACTTTGTATTTATAATAAGCATTTTAACTATTTGAAAAAAAACACATTTAATTAGTAAAGATTCTGTGGTTCACACCCGGGTCTAATTCATGATGGGTCTACTATTTGGGGATCTTGTATATGAACTTTTACATTACCTTCTCAATTTCTTCTTCTTACTTCATTATTGATAATAGGTTATTCTAGAAAGAACGTATAAAAAGAATCGCTTTATGTAATGAGAAGGGATAACACAACGAACTTGTTATCCTCTTATAATAAATATATAATAATAATATATAAAAATAAAATCGCTCTCCCAATATATTAAAAATTACATTCATTTTATTTTATAAACATAACATCCAATCCGTAGGCCCAGTGGCTAGATTAGCATCGAAGTTCATAAGTCTCTCCCGGACGTGACATTTTTGATCTCTTCCTAAATAGAATTCTTATAAACCCCATTTAATAAGTTACTCTTCTAAGTGACATTTGTCACGAATGGTTAATTATCGTAGGAACCTTGAATTTTATCTAGATTTTAAGCCTTGCCCATTAAAGTGTGATCATGACCCGAAACCCAACACATCCCCAATTCACCATTGAAGTTTACACATATTCTCCCAAAACTGTTAGTGACAACCGGGTAGCATGATTACGCGTCATTAATTAAGTTATTGTAGTAGTCATCTTCTTAATACGTATACAATCTTGAACAATAAATTGTCTTTTTATTTTATTTAATATATTTTTTCTGTCATTCTGATAACATTTAAAATGAACTAAAAGATTTTATAATTCAAATCATTGGTCAACTAAAAAGTCAATGCCAAATTGGTTTAGTTAAATTGGTCAAATAATTTGTCTATTAAATAATAAGTTTGTTATACAAAAACTTATACAACTCACTCTCGTTATAGTGAAGATTCGATATAGTGAGGTTTTTGAATTCTGGAATTATTAAACTTTAACTCGATATAGTGAAGTACATATAGTATTCTATAGTGAAGATATTTTTTCTCAGCCGCGGGACTTCACTATAACGAGAGTAAGTTGTACTGTATATAATAATCTTTATAACGTGTAGATGCGCGTTATTCCAGAATGCGCATGCTCGGTAATTCAAATTATACTAATTGTGGGGAAAAGTTACAACTGCTACAAACTTTTCTGCGTCTACGCGCTATTCCGGGTCGCACATGCGTGTTATTCTGAGTTCAATATGTTTTTTTAAAAAAAATGAAAATCATAATATATATATATAATTTGGTCTTTTACTAGTCAAATAACCATCCATACCAACTTTGGTGTGATTGTATAAAATCACGTAGATTATTGCTAAAGAAAACCGTATCGGTATTTTTCAGATTTTTAAAGAAAATGCATGTGAGAAGACGTTTCAATTTAAATTCTTTTTCTGGTTTAAATCGAACTAATTTATACTTTAAATGTAATGGTAATATAGTGATTGGCAGTTTAAATCAAATTAATTTTAGATTATTTAAACAGTTTAAAGTACTTTTTAAAAAAAAGAAAACTACTACGAATAAACAAAAAAGAAGTATATAGAAAGGTTTATTAGGGTTGTAGGACTCCACTATTAAAAATAATCAAAATTCTTTTTTGTTTTAGAGAAGTTAGCATAGTAGCGACTTCTTAACGACGGATAGAATTACTCTAAAACAAAAAAGAATTTTGATTATTTTTAATAGTGGAGTCCTACTGTACAACCCTAATAAACCTTTCTATATACTTCTTTTTTTGTTTACTCTTCGTAGTTTTATTTTTTTTAAAAAGTACTTTAAACTGTATAAATAATGTAAAATTAGTCTGCCAATCCAGCAATCACACGAAAATCTGCCTATGAGTGTTTGGTCATTTACATAAAATACATAAAATAGTATTATTACGTATTTACAGTGAATCTTCTATATACAAACTGTCTGAACAAAAATCTACAAAATCCACTTATGCCCACATTAATATTTTAAATTTTTAATGGTTATGCCCGTGTATTACCTATATATATACATAATAATTGAACGCACAGTGTTTGCTAAACATAAAAATAGGAGGGTACGTATAAAGGATAAAACACTTATTATACCTTTTTTTGTTCGTAATATAAAAAAACAACTTTTAGTGGGCCATCCGGAGTTCATTGGAGCAATACTAGCCAACTATGTCTATAGAGAAATCATCAACCGGGCATTATAAATGGAATATGACCTTTAGTAAATTCTTATTGATCTTCCAACTCACAGCTCATTCCGATAAGAGATAATCTTGTTCTGCTTAACCAATAAAAATTGAGAATTTTGAATTTTGATTTGAGAGACTTTTGACAATCGAGCACCAAGATGAACTTTTATATACAAGCTGCAACCATTTTAGATAAGCTATTCGCGCACAAGGGTACAATTAAAAGTCTTACATTAGCCGATAATGTTAAGGAGAAAAAAAAGATGTATGCATTGATATGTGAGACTTTGAAATGTAAGCTCAATCGTAGAATTTTTTCGTAATGTAAGGTTTTTTTCCTTCGTAAGCTTTATTCTAAATATACCAAATGATTTAATTATAATGATTATTACTTTTAAAAATAAGATAAGAATGTAATCAATACAATTTTGGATAATTCTCAGATATTTGACGTTGAGAAAAAGGTTGTTTAATTGACTGGTTCATATTGTCATTTTCAATAATGCAGTAATATCAATAAACGTTTTTTTTTTTATTATACGTATCAGCTTCCAAGAAATGTTGCCATACTTTTAGTTCATGATTTCTTATTTTCCCAGAATGGAATTAAATCATTATCGAATGGGCCTTACAAACAATCAATTTTACGACATGAAATAAGATTAAAAGCTGAACTCGCCAGACTTAAAATTAAGATGAAAGTTAAAAATAATGAAGATTTAATAAACTCAGAAATTCGAGAAACAAGTATGTACTAAAAATAAATGGATTAGTAAAACATAATCCAAAATTTCAAATTTGATTGATTTTCTTATTAATTATTTTTGTTACAGTTGTAATCCCACGATATATTCGTGTCAATACACTTAAAACATCTGTTAAAAAGGTTATAGAACATTTTCAAGCAAAAGGATTTACTCAAGAAGAACCTATTGATGATTTGAAGAACATAAGGTAATAATAATAATACCTAAAAATGCATTGCAAATTTTGAATTTATGATTCTTGGTCATTTCTCTCATGATCTTAAAATAAAATTTTTCCCTTGGATAAAGTCCTAAGACAATTCGAAAAGATAAGCATTTGCCTGATCTTTTAATATTACCACCAAACACGGATCTTCATGAAGATGCTCTATACTTATCTGGCGACATCATTCTTCAGGTATTTGTTTATTTTTTTAAATTACATTTCGTAAGTTGATAATCATCGTCACCATCATCATCATTTTTGGCACGCGTATATAGGATAAAGCTTCATGTATTCCTGCATTTGTTTGTTCACCACCTTTCAATTCGCATGTGATTGATGCATGCGCGGCACCTGGGAATAAAACTTCACATCTTTCGGCTATAATGCAAAATACAGGGAAAATATGGGCTTTTGACTTTGATAAACACAGACTAAATTTACTCAAGAAATTGATGCAAAAAGCTGGATGTAAAAGTATTAAATTATATCAATTATTATTATTACCTTTTTTTTTCACACTAAACTGTTTATTCACAAGTTACAATTGATTTACAGATGTTGAAGCTATTCATGAATCTTTTTTGGATGTTGATCCCATGGATCAAAAATATTCCAATGTAGGTTATATTTTACTTGATCCATCGTGCTCAGGGTCAGGAATAATAAATAGATTAGATCATTTAATTGATGCCTCCGATGGTTGGTATATGTATATGTTTTTCATATAAAATTATTTGTGCTTTTTTTTTGCGCGCAAAAATAAATTCTCTATTGTATTAATTACTATTTATTAAGAAACTCAAGAACAGTCAGACCTTTCTCATAAATTTAAAGAACAGCGTCTTGAGAATTTAAGCGAATTTCAAGAAAAGATGATTTTGCATGCGTTTAAATGTAATATTAATATCCCACTTAATTTCCCATTTTCACACTTTACTCTGACTAAAATTAATTCATAAAAAATAAATAAATAAATTAGTTCGTTCTGTTCAGAAAATCATATACTCTACATGTTCAATTTATGCGGAAGAGAATGAGCATGTCATCAAACGTGCCCTGGATCAGACTGATCTTTTTGTTCTGGGAAACAAGGACGATATGATGCCATCATGGCCAAGACGTGGTATTTCAAGTGAAATAAATGACGATGAAGGTTAGTTAACAAAAAACTTTCTCTGATTTCGGATCTAATTTAACAAAAATTTCATAATTATTGCAAATGATCCAGGAATTGCAGAAAAGTTCATTCGCGCAAATCCAAACGAGGATTATACAAATGGTTTTTTCGTTGCATGTTTTGTTCGTAAAACTGCACAACCGATCAATACTGAGGCTGACGGTGGACTAAAATCTAAGAAACGAAAACGTAATAAAGATGTCACAATAATCAAAATTAAAGATGATGATGAATGGAAGGTCAATATTTCGAATAATGATTCATTGCTATCAAAAGGATCCGCAATAGATAATGGAAAGAAAAAGAAAAAGAACAGTATTTCTCAATCTAATTAATCAAGATACAATATTTATCTATTCGCATTGATAATCTATTTCTAATAGAATTGTCATAACTACAGTATTTTAAAAACTCTTAACTATCACAGTATTACAGCTAACTTCTAATAATTTTTTGACCAACATATGTCAATTTATTATTAAATTTACTATACATGGCTTATTTGAGATTAATATAACAGAATTTTTCATGTAATCCATCAAAATGCTATCAGTAGCTGATTCAAAACATCCGAAACCAATTTTCTAGTATAATTATCTTTAGTTTCAATCTTAATGTTGTTACTATCTAAAGAGATTATAACCTTTGGAGAATCAACGTAAATCGTGCACTTCCCAGTTTTTGTATCTTCATCCAACGTAATAAGACAACCATACTATAATAAACAATTTATTATTATTATGTATGTATAACTTAAATTTTTCAAATCAGAATAAATAAATAAGATAGGTGATCTTTTTACTTACTAACTGCTCAGTTAGTTTATCTATCAAGCTCGGTACATTAATATTTCCGATAACATATGTTTGTTTTAATATTTGACTGCTTGTAGAAGGAATCAAAGAAGATTGATTATTATATGTTTTGAGATTTGCATATAATGCAGCGACCTTTGTTTCACCAATGTTTGTTGTAAATATTTCTGATGCAAGCTATATGAAATTAAAAAAAAAAAAAGTCAATTTCACGAATAATATTAAAATGTATAGAAATAAATAAAGTAAGAAGTAAAACGCTTACATCTTCTGCCATATAAGTTCTCTTATACTGTGAATTTATGGAGATATTAACAATATCTAAATATTCGTACAAAGTAACCAATGAAGAAGGTATTTGTCTTCGTATGTCATCTGCACTTTTTACTGCTCTGTGAGGGAACAGTATTTCTCGAGGTTGAAATCCTTTAATCATTTTGACTACTTGTTCAACTGTAAGACGAATATCAATTGGAAGGTGCATTGTTTTAATTTGTAATCCATCAAATGCTGAAATAGCTTCTTTAAAGTTGAATTCTGATTCTAAATTGTTTATTTCATAGTAATAATAATAATAAT